AATTGGCTGGCTGATCCTGCTATGAGACCCTATATTTGATCAGCTATAGAACAAGCTGTTGCCAGTCATAAAATTCATCATCAAAACTCCTGTGCTTTATGCTATCAATTTGGTCTAACAAGGGAGGCTGTCCGGCAAATGGTCTGTCCATGTGCCATTTGTCCAGAAACCCATCATTCTCTGCCTATGGGAGTAAATCCCCAGGACTCGGGCCTAACAATCTCTGGATGTTACTCATGTTCCTCCGTTTGGCAAACCTTTCTTTTGTTCGTGTGTGTGGATACCTTCTCCCACGTCATTGTCGCCTCTGTACAATGAGAGGCTATAAAAGCTGTGGTTCAACATTTTTTTGTTTTTCATATTTGGGTATGCCACAACAGCTAAAAACAGACAATGCTCCTGCTTATACTAGTAAGACCTTTACAAATTTGTTTGACATTTAATAAAAAACATACTACAGGTATTCCCTATAACCCACAGGGTCAGGCCATTGTGGGAAAAGCCCATCAGACCCTTAAAGCATGTGTTTTTAGGTTACAAGAGGTGAACTTAAATACCACTCCCCACCCACTCTTTTTGTTCTAAATCATCTCAGTAGAGAAGAAGTGGGGACTTCCCCTATGTTCTTAAGACACTGGGAGCCCGAGTCTTCCATTCCCCCAAATCTTTGGTAAAATGGCGTGATTTGCTCACAGGAACCTGGCAAGGTGCCAATGTATTGTCAACTTTGGGTTGAGGGTATGCTTGTGTTTTTCCACAGAATGCAGACTCACTTATCTGGATCTGGGATCCACTCATCAGGCCTTATTGTGGAATTGCCTCTGATCCACCCCAACCACTTTCTCACACTTGGACTCAACAGACAACACTCCTGATCCTCCCCCTGCTTCTGCGCAAACAGGCATTCCTCCTCCATCTTGCTCAGTTGAATCTTTGGCTCAGCTCTTAACAAACTTCATCGGCATTCCAGCCCTGGCACTTGTGCCGCGCTTCCAGGTAGCAGCCAGTACCAACCTGGGGAAAACTGAAGTTGCTCAGCAATCGTGCTCAGGCGCTGCTGCGCACACCAGAGAGTCTGCTTTTTGCTATGGTATCTCTAATTACAACTGAGGTACTATTACTCTCCCTGGCTGGGATGCAGCCACATACTGGGCTTATTTACCTGATCCTCCTATTTTTTATTTTACAACATGGGACTTCGCTTCTGTTAAAGTTAGAGCCGATGCTGTGGATCTTATGGGAGGAGAGAGCAGTGAGTATTTGTTCTATCAGGAATGTGATAATATTACATGCCTGGTGCTTCGGATCATTGCCCATTTGTTTTCACACTGATTCTGCTTCCCCAGTTACTGGTTATTTTTTTGCTTATCCAACATGCTTTGATTTGCTGATTCCCCTGGTGGAATAACTATTACCTCTGTTGACAAACATATATATCTTTGGGATCTACAAATTATGCTTCCTGCCCTCAAGGATAGTAAATATGAGACCACTGCTTTGCCATTGCCTTCTGGATACCCTGCTTGTCCTGATCCTTCCACATTGGATAATGCATGGACACATAGTTCCTCCAGGGAAACTTTTCCTAAATGGTTTTCTTGTGGCTTTGCAAATAACTCTGTTCATTATCTTTTTGTTTGTTTGTTTGTTTGTTTTGTTTTGTTTTCCGAGACAGGGTTTCTCTGTGTAGTTTTGGTGCCTGTCCTGGAATTCACTCTGTAGACCAGGCTGGCCTCGAACTCACAGAGATCCACCTGGCTCTGCCTCCCAAGTATTGGGATTAAAGGCATGTGCTACCACCGGCCGGCCCTCATTATCATCCTTTTAATGCCTCTTTTACCATTACTGACTGGTCGGTTAATAATCCTAGCTTTGATTATAAAACATTTTGAATCTAAGAAATGAAAATGTATTTATGACCCTCAATCCCTATTCCCTCAAACTTTTAGTACTTGGTATACCCGTGGTTGGCCCACTCCAACTTTTATTCCCATCCCTCTCTGTAAATGTCCTTTACAAAAGGATTTATTTCCTCTTTGCTCTCCTTGTAAAGTTCTGTTGTATCACCCTTTGTATGGGCCTGGTTATTACTAATCTATTTGTGCTTCTGTTGGAGGTCCCTCCGCTATCCTTCGTCAAGGACCTCGAGGTTCTCTTACTTCTTGCCGACATGGTTCCTTTAGGCTTTCTTGTTTGGGTTGTAAAATTACTAACTGCATTACTGCTTCTTCTTCCTATGATGTTATGTTTTAATTAGACAGCCACCATACGTCCTTCTGCCTGTTAAGGGTTCTACTCCTTGGTATGATAATCCTAGATCAGATCTCTTCTGCTCTCCTATGACCTAAGTGTTTTGCTGCTGCCTTAATCTTAGGGATCACAGCTCTAATAGGTACTGTGGCCAGTGTTATAATGTCTACAGCTGCTCTGGTTCAGCATGTCATACTGTCACTCATGTTGATCAACTTTCAAACTTTTCTGTGGCACTTATGCTACAGAAACAAATTGATAGGGGCCTTCAGGATCATATCAACACCTTGGAGGAAGCTGTTCTCTTCACAGGAAATCAGTTAGACAATACTCAGGTTAGATTTAACGTACAATGTCACTCTACTTTTAAATGGATTAGTGTGACCCCTCTTCCATATAATGACACAGAACATGACTGGGGTCAAGTTCAGGCACATTTACAAGGTATTTGGAGTAATTCTGCTTTATCCATGGATATGGCCTCCCTTCACCAAAGAATCTCCGACACAGCTCAGACTCCTGTTGCTTCCTCCACCATGGAGGAGATTACTGACTCTTTCTTCCTGGCTATATGCTCCCATGTGGGATGTACCAACTCTTGGTCCTTTTTTATTAATTTGGGCATCAGCATTCTTACAATTTTGCCTTTTATTTTCTTATTCCCAGTTGTCATCAGACAACTAACCAAAGGTTTGCAGGCCTTGACAGTTGAATCCCATGCTTCACAAATTAAAAGAAAAGGGGAGATGGCGATGCCAAGCGTCCTGAAGTCGCTGCTTGACAAAGACCACAGTGCTTGGACGACTTGGACTGACCCTTCATTGCCCTTGGCGGAGTTTTCTACACAACTCTTGCCTATGTCTTTGACATGGACCTGGGCTCCATCCCCAGCACCTACAATGTGGCTCACAACCATCTGTAACTCAAATCCAAGGAGATCCAATGCCCTTTTCTGGCCTCAAAGGGAATCAGATGAGCCATGCAGGCAAAACACTCATACACATAAAATAATAAAGTACTCTTAATTGCTGAGCCAACTCTCCACCCCACAAAAGATGTTATTAAACAAACAAACAAACAAACAAACAAAGCACAAAACTTGTTTAAAAAAATGTAAGTACATGAAGGCAGGAGGGAACTGTGTTAATAATCAGTTGATAAGAATCTATCAAACTGCCGGGCGGTGGTGGCGCACGCCTTTAATCCCAGCACTCGGGAGGCAGAGCCAGGCAGATCTTTGTGAGTTCGAGGCCAGCCTGATCTACAGAGCGAGATCCAGGAAAGGCACAAAGCTACACAGAGAAACCCTGTCTTGAAAAACCAAAAAAAAAAAAAAAAAAAATGTATCAAACTGGGCATGGTGGTACATACCTTTAATCCCAGCACTCAGGAGGCAGAAGCAGACAGATCTCTGAATTTGAGGCCAGCCTGGTCTACAGAGCAAGTTCAAGGACAGCCAAGCTTAGGCAGTAAAGGTAACAATCAAAACCAGAAAGTTGGTGAAGATGTAATTGAACAAAGGGACCATGTTCCAGCCCCAGCAAGCAGCAGAACCTGGCAGCTTTGGCCATGTGGTTCTGGCTTTACAGTTAAGTATAGAAGAAAGGAGTTATGGGATTTGCTTCTGAGACTAAGGAAAGCCGCTGAGGCTAGGCATGTGTCAGGGATGTCCCTGCATGGATGTCTACAGAGGCTATTGTGTGAAGATGTAAAGGTGAAACCTGGATTGCCTTGGAGAATCCAAGATGTTAGAAATGCCAGAGCTTTGGGATACCTGCTGAGGAAAGCTGCTAACAGGGAGTGGAACCAGCCCAAGAGAAAGAAGTGTGTTGCAATCAACAAAACTGAAAGGAATTGGAGACCTGAAGAGCATTTTGACAACAGACATGGAGATGCAGTATTTGGAGTTTACCCAGCTGGTTTTCTGTCTTGCTTTGGTCCAGTATTTCCTCACTATGCTCCCTTCCCTATGTTTTTGAACAGTAATGTATATCCTGTGCCATTATATGTTGGAAGTATGTGATCTGTTTTTTTTTATTTTGATTTTACAGGGGATTACACTTAAGAGATTGCATGAATCTCAGAAGAGACTTTGAACTTTAGACTTTTAAATAAGTTTGAGACTGTTACAGACTATGGGGACTTTTAAAACTGGACTGAATGCATTTTTTGCATTATGATATGGCTACAACCCTTTGGGGGCCAGGGAGTGGAATGTGGTGGTTTGAAAGAAAATGGCCCCCATAGGGAGTGGCACTATTAGGAGGTGTAGCCTTGTTGGAGGAAGTGTGTCACTGTGGAGGAGGGCTTTGAGGTCTCATATATGCTCAAGATACTGCCCACTGTCTCAGTCCACTTCCTGTTACCTTTTGATCAAGATGTAGCCAACACCATGTCTGCCTGCACCCTGCCATGCTCTCCATCATGATAATGGATTGAACCTGTGAAACTGTAATCCACCCCAATTAAATGTTTTCCTTTATAAGAGTTGCCATGGTCATGGCATCTCTTCATAGGAATAGAAATCCTAACTAAGACAGAGGGTAAGAGGTGCTTGCTGCCAAGCCTGATGACCTTAAGCTTGATTCCTGGGACCCACAGAATGGAAAGAGAGAACTGATTCTCATAAGTTGTTCTCTGACCTCCACGCATGCGCCCCCTACTAAGATAAATAAATATAAGATTTGAAAACAAACAAAATTGCTACCACCAACACCACAAGGGCAACAGACATGAGTTCAAGGGCAAACCTTTGAAGGCGTCTGTTGCTCCAGGAGCACAGTTCTTGTCAGGGTGAAACTTCAGGGCAAGCTTCCTGTAAGCTTTCTTAAGTTCTTCATCACTGGCATTGCGAGAAACACCCAGAATTTCATAGTAATTTCTGCACTTCTTGATTCTGAAAAGAAAAAAGTTAAAAGTATATATATCTACAGAGGCTCTATTTGTATAACTAATAGCCAAACAATACATTCTCCAACCTATGAACCCCAAAACAAACCTAAGAGAAATAGTGAACCCATTTATGAAACGTTCAAATCTTCCTACTCAGACCTCAGTACTTCACACAGCTCCTGGATGTACTCTTCTACCCCTCCTATATTCGTATCAGTGGGCACAAGTATGTTAGCCTTTATGTCAAAGTTCAGGCTAAGATCCTGAAAGTGAGTCAAAGAACAGCAAAGCCGGAAGAATTAGCTAGCTATCTTATTTGGTTTTCTTGAGACAGCACCTCAAGCAGCCCAGAGCAGCCTCGAGCTCACTATGTAGCTAAGGCTGGCCTTGAAGTCTTAATCCTCCTGCCTCCACTCCTCACAGACGTTGAGATTATAGGTGTGTGCTCTCACATCTGCCCTTATGGCTATCTTTCAAAATTGTTATGCGGTTCTCACTTTGGGGAGATGGGGAGGGGTTTTTTTTTTCTTTGAGACTGGGTCTTTCCATGTAGTTCTGGCTGTCTTGGAACTTTCTATGTAGACCAGTCTGTCCTCCAACTCATAAAGATCCAATTGCCTCTGTCTCTCTCCCAAGTGCTGGGATTAAAAGCATGCACACTATGCTTGGTCTTTTTTATTTTTTTCCAGGTAGAATTTCATGTAGTCCAGGCTGGGCTCCAACTCTCCATGTAGTAGAGAATGACTTCTTGTGTGTATGTATGTATCCAGACCAGAGATCAACATCAGATGTTTTCCTTTCTCACTCTTCATCTGATTTTTAAAATTACATTTTCTTTCTTCCTCTCCCTCTCTCTCTTTCTGAAACAGGGTCTCACAGTGTAGCTCTAGCTGTCCTGAAACTCACAGAGATCCACCCACCCCTGCTTCTTGAGTGCTGGATTTAAAATAGCATCACTCCCCACATCTGCCCTGAATTGTTTTTCTGTGTCTGTGAGGCTAGGGTCCAAGTTCATCCTTTTCATGTGAATATTCAGTTGTCTAAACATTTGCTGAGGACTGTTCTTTCCTCCATTAAAATGTATGGGCACTTTGTCAACAAAGAATGAACCAGAGCTAGGCTCAGTGGTTCATGTCACCTGCACTGCTAGCATTTGATAGGCTGAGGCAAAAGACTTACTGGGAGTAAGTCTGTCTGGAACCAGTCTGTCTACAGAGAAATCTTATCTAAACACAACAACAGTAAAAATCAAGGGCCCATAAACACGAGGGTTATTTTTGGACTCTCAGCCTATTCCACTGAGCTACATGCTCATCCTCACATCTGTCAGATGGTCTTTATTGTTGCAGTTTTGAAGTAAGTTTAAAATTTAAAGCATTACTCATCCAACTTTGACCTCTTTCAAAAACTGTATTGGCTATTCTGGGTCCCTTCCATCTCCATGTGATTTTCCTCTCTCTCTTCCTTTTTTTTTTTCTTGGACAGAGTCTCCCAGGGCTGCTGAGCAGTGGTGGCACATAACTTTAATCCCAGCACTCAGGAGGCAGAAGCAGGTGAATCTCTGAGTTCAAGGCCAGCCTGTTCTACAGAGCGAGTTCCAGAACAGCCAGGGCTAAACAGAGAAACTCTGTCTTGGAAAAGCCAAAAATAAAAACAAAACAAAGTCTCCTAGGGTATAGTGGTGCATGCCTTTAATCCCAGCACATAGAAACAAACAACCAACAACAAAGAGAGAGGGCTGCTTACACTATAGTTCTTGCAGCCCTGGAACTTGCTATATAGACAGCTGGCCTCAAACTCACATTCCCAGCACCCACATCAGGTGGCTCACAGGTGCCTATAACTCCATCTCCAGGGGATCTGACGCCCTCTTCAGGTCTCTGTGGGTATCTGCACTCATGTGCACACATCCACACACAGACACATAAAAATAAAATTAATAATAAAAAAAAAGGTAGTGCTGTCCTCTTTTTTCGGTCCTGATTTTGTGTATGTCTGTGTGTTGAGGAGCAGACAGCTCCCTATGGAGCTCTGGCCACCCTGGAAGTTGCCTATTCCTCCTGCTCCAGAGTGCTGGGATTATAAGTTTGCACAACCAGGCACGCCTTATCCCTGATTTTAGTCATCTGAGTATTGCTTTCCCCCTGGACAGTGTAATTAAAACTTCATCAATTTTGTTGACATTTTAAAGAGTCAATTTAACTTTTGGTTTTTCTCTACTGTTTCCTATTTTCTATTTCATTTATAGCTACTCTTGTATTAGTTCCTTTATCCTTCTTATGTAGGGTTTTGTTGTTTTGGTCTTTTTTTTTTTTTTTTTTTTTTTTTTTGCCAAGGGTCTCAAACCCCAGATATTCCTGCTTCAACTTCAGTTCTGTGACAATAGACTTCTGCCACCATGCCTACCCTCTAGTTTCTTTTTTGTTTGTTTTGTGTTCTGGGGAGGGGACCCAGGGTCTTGCGATGCTAAGCAGGCATTCCACCAGTGAACTATATCCCTAGCCCTCTTTTCACTTTCTTATTTGAGACTGGGTCTTCCTAGTTGCCTAGTGTGGCCTTGAACTAACTTTGTAGTCCAGACTGGGCTTAACCTTTCAAACCTCCGCTCTCAGTCTCCTGAGTAGTTGGGATCTCAAACCTAGATTATCACACCTGACTAAAAGACATCTTTTTAATTTTTTTTAATGTACTGGAGATCAAACCTAGGGCCTCATGCATACAAGGCAAAGCTCTGTCTACTACTGAGTTACATTCCCAGCCCCTGCTTTCTTATTTTGTTTTCTTGGCTTCTCTTAAAGCAAACCACACAACTCACATTATATTCCAATACTCCATTCTTACCCAGTCTTTCATCTGATGTCAAGAAGCTAGTGTCTTTCAATAATACGATAACGAGGGCTGGAGAGATGAATCAGTGATTAAGAGCACTGGCTGCTCTTCCAAAGGACCCGGGTTTGATTCCCAGCACTCACATGGAGGCTCAAAACTGCCTACCTGTAACTCCTGTTCCAGCATCCAAGGCCTGTACACAGACATACATGCAGGGAAAACATCTACACACAGAAAATAATAAATAAACCTAAAGAAAAATGGTGATGACACAGGTCAGCAGTTACATAGCCCATCCTGAGACAGACACTAAGCACTTTATATAAAAATCCCTTATTTAATCCTACTACAACAGCAGTTCTCAACCTGTGGGGTCGTGACCCCTTTGGAGCTTGACTGACCCTTTCACAGGGGTCACATATCAGATATCCTGCATATGATTCAGATATCCAGACAACAGTAACAAACTTAGTTATAAAGTAGCAAGGAAATAATTTTATGATGGGGGTCACCACAGCCTGAGGAACTGTATTAAAGGGTTGCAGCATTAGGAAAGTTGAGAACCACTGGACTACAGGCTTACCTTTGTACCCCAAGCAGCTGTTCCTCTGTATAAGTGGAGCTCCCCTCTCCCTGTCGGGTCTGATTCCACTCATTCTCAGCCTTTTTTTCCTTTTGTGTCTTCATGCAGTTACAGCAACCACAGGGATCATGGCTGCCAGGTCGTCTGTCTTCTGGGTATTTGTTTCTTCTAATCGCATCAAAGTAAGCTGCCAAACAACAGCCAATCAACCTCCAGTTCAAACCAACTTAGACTGTGGTTTACTTTTTTTGAGACAGGGTTTCACTATGGCTGGTCTCAAATCCATGAACCCTGGTCTTCAGCTTCTCCAGTGTTGGAATTACAACCATATGCAGCTATGCCCAGCTCTACAGTTTTGCTACTTGCCTTAGCTCTCTGTGAGGCAGCTTGTAGGTAAGTGCAAAGAAGTGTGAAGTAGTGTCTTTAGATGACTAAAGACATCATGGAGACTTCAAAGTTTCCATTTAAAACTCCAACAAACATCTTCCCTGGGATACTGTACAGAAAATACAGGGTGTACCCAAGAACAAATTTTAAATGCCAGAAACACAAAGCCCCAAATGTTCACCATACTTAGAGTGCTCGTTCAACAAATGCTCTTAACTTAGATACAGAAGAAGGGCTTGTGAGGCATCTCTACCCAATACCTTACCTTTAGTGCAGTGTAGAGAGAGGCCCATTTCTTTGTGCTGCATGGACAGAGGTGACATTGCTCATAAAATAACACTTTGCTTGCAATGTCTCCTACCTTAAATTTTAAAGCATAGACAGATGCTGTCTCAAAAACAAACAAACAAAACCACAACAAAACAAAAAGGAATGGAGTCGTTTAATTCTTTTAAACTAGCATTTGTAGGAGCTGGAGAGATGGCTCAGCAGTTAAGAGCTCTTGTAGAGGACCTGAATTTGGTTCTCAGCACCCATATGGCAGCTCAAACCTCTTGTAACTCCAGCTCCAGGTGGATCTGATGCCTCTGGCCTCAAAAGGCACCTGAACTCCCAGGCACATATTCCTTCCCCCACATACACATAATTAAAGATAAAATAAATCTTTTTTTAAAAAAATTAAAGGAACACTTGTAGAATTAATATGAACCAAGACACTGGGCTAGACATATCAGGGGCTGTACGGGTGAGACCAATTCCTATCCACAAAAACATTACAGTTTAGTGCAAGAGGATTCAGGAAGTCCTGACACCTACAAAATGTACAGAGCAAGCCAGCGAGGACAGGCCACTCCTGTCTTGTCAGAAGACCTGAAAGGCTTTAAAAACATCTTTCTCTCCTACTTAAGATCCTCCAGTGGCACCCCCTCGACATTCTTCCTTTAAGGTATCCTTCATATCTTTACATGTAACGTTTTTCTCCACGAAGCTTCTTTTGACACCCAAGCTGTGTTTGGGTACCTTGTCAGTGTGCAACCCAAACCCCCAACCTTGCTGTGGTAACCCAGGAACTTACTGGCTGTGTTTTGTAAAAGGCTGTTAACCGCTCAAACTCTCTCAGTGGATTGACAGTTCTGTGAGCTCGGGGACCCGCGTCTGTCAAATTCCCCCTGCAGAATCAGCATAATGCAGGACATATGATAGGTATTGGGATCCAAACTTTCTGCCTGGCCGTAGGATGGAAAAGGACAGACAGCCTACTGGCCCTGATGAGGCCTTGAGGGACAAGATCAAACCGGGACTGAGAGTCAGGTGGCCTAACGCAGAGGAGTTATCCATAAAGGGCGGGTAAGCTACGGACCTCAGCATCCTAAGAGCCTTCGAATCACAGGAGGTCAAGACTGGCCGCCAGCCGCGGGCTCTGGATGGGGCATGGCCGGGGCGGGGCTGGGGGCTCTGAGGAAACCAGTCGTAGCGGGTGACGACCACAGCCTCAGCCGGAGCCAGCGTCCCCGGCCTCTGCCCTGGGCCCTACCCGAACCCTACTCAGGCTTAGCATCTTCCCACAAGCCTCCATCTGGCCCAGGATCTCAGCCTTAAGATCCGAGGACCCCCGCATCCCTCATCTCTCCGAATGCTGCCTTGTCCCACCCTTCAGTCGGGGACCTGGTACCTTGGGTCCAGCGCTCCCCGCTGCCCAGAGTGGCCGCCATATCGGTTTTCAGTCAGCAGGTCGGCGGAGCCTCTCAAGTCCCGGAGGCTGAAAGAGAAGGGGCGCCGAGCGCGGGGCACGCTGGTCATTGTAGTTTAGTCCGAGTGGGCTGCGGAGCTACGCGACTACAAGTCCCAGCGGGGCCCGCGCGAGAGACGCAGAGATGCAGGGGTGTGATGAGGCTGGAGCCCCGGAGGGAGGCCTGTAGGGTTTAGTTGGCTGGTTTCGGCGGCGGGGCTGCTGGCTCTGCCTCAGACTCATCTGTAGCTGAGGATAGTGGCTTCTCGCCTGCCTGATCCTGACAACATACGAAGATCCTACGGGGCAACGGCTTCGCGCACTGTAGGCCAACCGGCGACATTTACACCCTCAGGAATGTCCATCTTGAGAATCTAGCAGTGCCTATTCTGTGTAAAATCTATGCTAGGCCCTGGAGATAGAAAGATGGTTTGGGGAAGACTAAACTCAACCCTCGGAAGTTTAATGGCCGCAAAAAAAAGAAAGAAAGAAAGAAAGAAAGAAAGGAAAGTAGTGTGAATGTAATGTAGTTAGACAGTTTGGGTTCCTCCCATCCCAGCTCCTTAGGTGTCAGAGGGACCACTATGGGGAGGGTAAGTTTGGGAACTGGCATCAGAGCCCTGTCTTGGCCGTTCCTTGTTTTTACTTCAGCCCTATCTACTCATGAGCCTCCGAGGCTTCTCTCCTCTTTCCCAATCCTTTCTTTTCTGAAGGGCCAGCTCTAGGAGGTTTGTAAAGAGGAAATGGGGGCGGGGGGGGGGGGGGGGGGGCGGTTCCTGTGTTTTCCACGGAGTCCAGCAAAGAATCAAAGCAATTCTTTCACATGTTTCACCGGGGAATCTCTGGTCTCCATACTCCCGTACTCATCCTCAGAGGATCACTAAACCTAATCTAATCACCAAGTCAAAAATCAGGTCTACAAAAGGGCAAAATGATCAGGATTTCAGAAAATTATCTGAAAAAAAAAGTACCTGGAATTCGCTTAGATCATATTCAAGAAAACTAATTCAATTTTGCTGTCAACCACCAGCTACTTAGGCTGTTGGGAAAGTGAGGTGAACATGGGGATGCCTAGCCCTAAACCCAAGCAGTACAGAGTCCATATTAGGCACATCATAAAGTCTCCAGTATGTCTAACTAGGTCTCCATGCCTGAATATCTGGCAGTTATTATTACTGCGAATAGGGAAAAAAAGAATAACACTACCAAAAAGGGGTAAGAAGCTGATTTCCCCTGTGTCCTAGCACCTGGCTCCAGCTACTAAAGCTAATGATCTTTTCCATTCCTGATTTCAAAAATGATCAAAGGATAAGCCAGGCATAGTGAATCACATGTTTATCTCAGCAGAAGAGACCAAATGGCAGAATCAAGACTTCAAGGCAATCTGGGATACAGGAGACCTTGTCTTAAAAAAAAAATGTGGTAGAACACATCTGTAGTACCAGCACCCAGGAGGCTGAAGCAGGAGGATCCTAGTTTGAGGTCAGCCTGAGATACACAATGAGACCTTGTCTCAAACAAAAAAGTATGACAAAGTGAATCAGTATGGGAAGGACTGTGTATCACAACCAGGTGGATTATGTTATACTCTTAAACTTGAAAGACAAAAGCATCCAACTCATGAGATAAGCTCAAGTTCCAACTCTGAGGCCCTGGGCCTATGACCAGCTCATATATTTCAGGTACCAGTATGTTAACAGAAGACTGGAACTGGGCAGGGGAGATGGCTCAGTGGTTCAAGGCTAGGCTCACAAACAAGAAGACAGAAGGCTGTCCTGAAGGGTCCACTAGTGGCCCAATCAGGAGCATGTATCAGATGGTTATACATAAAAAGGTTTTCTGCTTTGGGGATTGGAGATAGCCTGCTTCTAGAAGATGGCCAGCTGAGATAGTGTAATGCCTTGGATTCCCAGGGCACGGCGTAATCACAGATGTCTGAGCACCATCAACTCACAAGTTTCTGGCTAGACTGAGAAGTACCATGAATTATGAAATCACTTGGGTTCAGAGTCTAGGTTTAAGAGTGTTGGGCAAAATTGGAAAGCTGAGGCTTCCTGAGGAGCACTCTCGCTCCATTCTCTGAAACCTCCCAGTAAAAGAAGAAAGGGGGTGGTAGTGGCATTGCAACCTTCTCAGATAATTACCATGAAAATGTACCCATTGGCTCCTTTATGCCTCTACTGACATTTCTGGATTCATCTGTTTCTGATTATATCACTTGGACAAATTTAGAACTCCAAACCCCAACACTGGGAACACTTCTGTGCCAGTTGCTGCTTATATTCACCAATCACTTAGCAGCAGAAATCATTACCATCAGTCAACATCTGTGTTTGTATGAGGTGGAAGAGCCAAGGGAAAGCAACCAGTAACGAGAGCAAAGTAGTCCTAGAGGTGGGCCGGAGAAGCAGCTCAGAGGCTGAAAGCATGTACTGTTCTTGTAGAGGTCAGTTCCCAGCACCATGTCAGGTGGCTCCTAAGTCACCACTTGTAACTCCAGCTGCAGGGCATCCCACATCCTCTTCTGGCCTTCATGGGCACCTGCATTCACATGCACAACCACTCACACATGCACATATACACATAATTAAAAAATAAAAATAAAAGAACTTCTTGGAGGGAAATAAGGGAAGAGAACTGGGATCTCCAAGCCAGTTCTCAGGGAGGAAATAGGTGTGAAAGTTTCAGGGAAAAGGAGAATAGTCACAAATCCAGGTGGCTGGCAATCAGGACCACATTTTTTTTTTTTTTTAAGAATTTAGTAGGACTAGCCTGGCTTTAGGAAATATGTGCCAGAGTAAGAGCAAGGGGGCCTCCAACCAGTTCCCAGTTTCCTATCAGTTTTATCCACCACGTTTAAAATATTTGTTTTTAGAGATACTGATGTGAGGTTTGCCCCATCCAGGCCTGAAAGAAGAAAGATACTGGGTAAATTTTCCTTCTTTTGGTTAAGGTCTTTGTACCTGAGCTGGTGTGTTGCTTGCTTTCTTATAGGTTGAACAAAGAAATAAGACATTCTAACACACACACATGCACACATACAAGAGAGAGAAAGAGAGAGAGAGAGAGCGCCAACTTCCTGCTTTAGAACTGTGTAGTCTTGTATAAGAAAAGGGAGGAAGTTGTCTTGTAAATGGTCACCATCCTGTTGTCTAGACATCAAGGAAGAGATGTAGGCTTAGGGAAGCTACAGGAGCAGCAGAGGGCTGCACTCGGATTTCCTGTCAGAGCGGGACTCTTGTATTTACATACAAAATAGGATCCCACCAAAAGCTCACCCCACAACATGGTTTGCTGAGAGCAGGATTTCGTGTTAAATGAGTTCATCTTGGACCCCTCCCCAGAGTACTGTTACTTAGCAACAGGAACATCATCACGGCTAGTGTAGTACTGCAGTGTCAGCAGCAGAGTAAGAGCCTTGCAGTCTCAAAGATATTAATACCAGGTCGTTCCTCCCCCTCCCATATATAAATACCTTATGACTAACAGCTCACATTTGTAGTACATTATCCAGAGTCAGGGGAAAATTTGTGGCTTTGTAATGAAGAAGTCATATGAGTTAACCAGAGTGAAATCCACCCATGTCCTTGACCTGATTAGTCCAGTATGCTAAGCAGCTGAGCCTAGTGTCCATGGCAGAATGATAGCAATTCTAACAGAACTCAAGACTTCTAGACATTGTTAGGTCACCTGGAAGGTTCTATGCCAGTGATAGGTTTTTTTGAACTGTAGCTGGATAGTAAATATGTACTTTTGGAAGTGCAATTTAAATACAATATATCTAAAATTCTAAAAAAAAAACCAACAAAAACCAAAAACGTAGTATGGGGTCATAGATGACTCAGTGGGTAAAAGTACTTACCACATAAGCTTGAGGACTAGAGTTGGGGATCCCCTGCACCCATATAAAAGCTGGGTAGGCATGGGGGTCTGCTTGTGATCCCAGTGTTGGCAAAGTAGGAGATGGGTGTTTCCTGAGGTGAGCTGGATAGCTAGACTAGCCATACCAAGAAGCACTGGGTTCAAGTGAGAGACCCTGCCTGAATATATAGGGTGAGAGACGCTGCCTGAGTACATAGGGTGAAGAGTGAATGAAGAAGACATGGCCTGTCAACCTCTGGCCTCTACATGCAAATGCACACATGTGCATTCCCACTCACAAATATGTGCACTCACCCATGTAAGTACACATAACATATACACATAAGAAAGAAAAAAAGTACTGTAGTGTTAGGACTAGAGAAGTGACTCATTTGGTAGTGTGTTTAACTTGCATGAATGCCTGAGTTTGATCCCCTGCACTGCATGACACTGTGCATGGTAGTACATATCTACGCTTGGGAGTGCAGGCAAGGTTATCTTTGGCTACATTGTGAATTCTGGGCTAGCCTGGGATAGAGGAGATCCTGTTTCAAAATTAAATAAATAAATACTATAGTATTTATAGTATATATACACACTATATATGTATATATATTATATATATGAAGAGTACTCCAGGAAATGGGCTCTGAGACACTGAGGTATGTATACCAAATGATTATTAATGAATGTTTCTGCAACAAGTAAGGGAAGACAATCATGTAGAAGAAAAACTGAGGCCCTTCCGTCCACCAGCCAACCATCAGCCAGCCACGTGTCCTCAGCAGCCCACAGCTTGTGAACAAATGCCTTGGCTCTGAATTGTGGTCTGGGAGATGGTACCCTAGGCCGTCTGCTACAATTGTTGATCAGCCTTGCTTCCCAAGTACCTTTCCCCATTCTTCCTGCCCAGTAAAGTGTGAGGTGAATAAGGCATGGTACAGCTCATTCTCCTAATACACAAAGAGAAGGAAGTCCACAGAATGTTGAAGACTTGCCTGGAGTCACCTGAGACTGTCTTTGGCTCCTACTCATCTTTTCTTTTTAGAATAGGATTATTTTTAGACAGTGTCTCATTGTGCAGCCAGACTGGCCAGAACTTGTTGGCCTTGAATTCACAGAGGTCCTCCTGCCTCTGCCTCTGGAGTACTGGGATTAAGATGTGTGCTGTCTCTAAATCTTTTTAAATTT